GCTAGTGCAAAATTTGAGCTGCTTTTGTCTGCAAAGCACAGATCAGCAGCTCTCGGTCAGCCGGAGATTGGGTAAATAAACCAGTCCGGTTCAGCACCGCTCAGGTGCTCCAGTCTTCTTTGTGCCTGGAAGACTCACTGCTTCATAACATCAGTTGAATTATTTATGCATCATATTCTGCAGTGGTTTGACATTGCACAGCAGCCTACATGCATTCTTCCTATTTCTTCGTGAGGTGCGGTTGTCAACTTCTGAGCTACTGTAGATTCCCGCGCAAACCTGTCGACACTTCAACGGTCATATTTATAAAGAGAATTGTTTAGGGGGCATGTTTTAGTCATGCTGCATGTCGGCAGGCAGAGCAACTGTATTTCGCTCGCCTGCTGCTAGCTCATGCAAGATGCTAGTCGCTAGCACCCTGCTTGGGCTAATGGTTCTTTCTAAAGAAACCCTGCCCACTGGCGCGGAGAAGAAAAATGGGGCCATCAGTCTAAATGAGCTCCGGAAGAAACAGGGACGATTTTCTTGGTAAACACATTATTTTTATGCTGTAAATGACATGTAGCGAAATTTGAGATATCTTTATGAACATTTTTCCTCTACGACTTCTTTTTCAGAAGAACTAGTTGCACAAAAAAATTTATTTCTATATGTATATATAATTTATCAAGAATTTTAACGGTATGTAATACGATTAGTACAAATGTAAGAAATTTCAAAATTTATGCCTTCTACGAGTCGAATCAATCATGCCAAAATCCTGTAGATCCTATGCTTTTACCCGTTTCTTAGAAGGACCTTCTTTTAATGTTTTTTCAACAACAGAAATTTGTAAAATAGATGAAACGATGTTAGATAGAGCTTGTAAAAGAGACAGGGTTAAAATTCCTCATGCATTTTTACTGTTTGGCTGTAATGAATTTGGTTTAATTCCAAAAAACATTTGTAACTTTTTAAAGCGAAGATGTCACAACAGCAAGTTATGAAGTCATGCAAATCTACCTCCTTCCTTTGACTTTCCATTAAAATTTGTTTATGCTTAATGCTCAACAGTGCTTGTACAAAAAAAGCCTGTAGTTTGCTCTTGTAGCTAATGCTGGTGTGACATGCATCTGCTTGAAAGAGCTTGTCTTTGTTTATATCAGTCGGCGCAGAATTTCGTAAATCGGCAGTATGGCGCCGACAGCTATTGCATCTTCCTTAGCTTGCTTGTTTCTGCTGTCAGTTGAATAAATTGATTAGGTACCGTGTGTAAATTGTGAGCTTCCAGTGGTAATTACCGCTCTTTGATTTTGTTCCCACGCATAATAACCTACGAAGAAAGAGGATTCTCTCATAATAATTTCTGTAAAAGGTGTAATTGAAAATGACTTTGAGTTGATGTATTTCGGTCAAATGGCACTTAGAAACTGCATTTTTTGACCAATGCTGCTGTAAAATGTTGTCTTTCAATTCAGAAAACATGTTGTCATAAGACGGAAAAATGTAGAAAAAGAGCAACTTCTGGCAGATTTATATAATTGATTTCGCCATAAATGTTAGAAGTATAATATTTTCTTTACAGATAATTTGAGATCTACAAAACCACAATTTTTTTTGCCACGCTTATACGTCAGCTTAATTTTACTCAAATTGTTTAAGAACGAATCTGATTTGACGGAATAATGTTGATAGTTTGGAATGTTTTTCCGCAGGTCACGTCAGAATAGTCAGTGTAACGTTTCTGGAGGATTCCCGCTTCAGTTTCTTATGAAAGTTTATGTTTGTTCCAACCAGTGGCTATTTAATTGTTTACTAGTTTTGGCTAGACATTTTCATAGATCAGAAAGGATTATTTTTTAATGAGAGTATCTCAAAACCAAAAAAATCATTTTCACTTCACTGCATTTTACATTCACTTTTTGCATTTATCTGTATATATGCCGGCGGAGATCTAAAACAACTAGCAACACCTTTGTTTTTTTTTTGTTTATAATTTCTAAACAGCTCCTGAATTCTCTTCAGTTTCTTTTAAAATTTTTTTCAATTTACTTCTTTTTACTGACAGACAAGAAAAAAAGGAAATACAGTTACAATTCAAAATGGTTAATTAGTGGACGGGAATGCTCAGATTGATGAGAAACTGTTGTTACCTTTAATATCTCGCCTAATAAGTTTTTTTTAGATCAAGTGAGTTATGGGCTTAAAGACCACTATCTGAGAAAACAGTCGTTTGATATTGGTTTGGTTGAACAGTATGACTTTTGTGGTTTTGGTCTATTTCAAGCGTTAAATATAACAAAAATTTTTTGGCTAAGTGCAATCGGAGTGTACAGTGGTCAGGCAGCAGTTTTCGGTGTCGATTACCCTTTATCTTATATGCCAGGTATCGCATTTTCTTGGATGTTCAAATTTAAAATGCTTGACATTTACATGTTTGTAAACAATGATACGTTCATATAAAATTTTAGTGGTTGATCAAAGAACATTGTACAGCTGAATTTGAGGTAGAAGCAGATGGCAGAAAAATTAATAAATTTTTTTTCTGCTTCTTTCAAAGTTTGTGTATTTGGTTTGTCTAAAAAATGTGGATCGGAAACTTCTAAAATTTGTTATTAATTAAATTATAAAATTTGTTATGAATACTGAAAACGAGACTCTTTTTAGAACTACTTGCTGATTTAGATGACCAGATGACTTTTTTGAATCGTGTGGAGAACACACTTACAGCTACGGTAAGACTAGTCTGTAGTAGAAGATTGTTTTAGTTTTGATTTTTTAACTTAGAAACAAACAAGAACAGTGATGGTTCTTTGCCAACAAAATTACTTATATCTGACGGTAAATTTTGCAATAAAGTGGTCTAGTAAGTTATGCGATATAATTTTTGAGTGAAAATTGAATTGTTTCGTATGCGGCAGCTGTTTTTTAGCTGTAGGTGGATGAATCATTACTTTTTTAATTGGGAAGTGAAATAACTGCAACGTTTTAAGGGGAAGTTGAGTCAAGATTTACAGAAAAATTTTATGGTTATTTTAATCACAAATCATTTTCTGATTTGTACTGTTTGATTTTTACTTTACTTTTACAATTTGACTCCAAAGTTTGTTTTAACCAGTAGTTTTGTCAAAA